CATTCCTTGAAGTTCCTGAAAAAATACAACATCATCAGCTTCCCGCAGGGCTTTTATTTACAGCTCCTCAAAAGTGACGTTTCACACCCTCCCTCATTCATAGTGCCCTTCAACAGCAGAATGACCGTCCTGGAGCCACCAGCTCACGGTGCAGTCGACCTGCAGCAGTTCGTCTCCTCAGTCACAGCACAGTGTGAAACAGAGTTAGTGTGAAACAGAAGCAGGAACAGCCACAGCCAGATTTGGGCTACAAAAGGTTCCAGTTGTAACTCAGTGATGAGGGCTGACACTCACACACCGAGCAACGGATTCTGCAGGATCAGCTGCCTTATTTCCTCACTGCCCTCTCCAACGAGGTGAAAAGGCAGTTCTGCTACATCACACAACTGAGATTTCCCTCTAACTCCAGCAACCCCCTGTCTCTATCCCTAAGCAAAAGCCCTGTGAACAGCCAGCAGCTCATTGTTATCAAGTTCCAAGACATGAGGGGGCTGCACCCACCAGGATACAAACCTTTCTCCACTATGGCCTGCTCTGTTCCCCCCTCAGTTTCTGAGCACCCTGACTTTTCATTCCTCTGAAAACCAAAGCCTCCAAAAGGGCCACGTCCAAAACTAGGAATCAACAGTGGCAGCGCCGCAGGAAGAGGAACCGGGAAGCCTGTCTGGGGTTGCCTGTTCCCTGCATCCCGTCAAGGAACAGAGAGCAAGGGAAGTCCATAAAACTGACAGAGTTTAAGCGTGATGGGAGCCAGGAACAACCCTGTGAACAGCACAGAGTGAAGACCAAATGTCAACTCCACCACTGACGTTTTTGGTTTTATTTCTCCTCCCTATGCCTTAGTTTCCCATTTGTAAAACCAAGGTAATGATACTCCTCTCTTTGGTAAAAGCACCAAGTCCTTTTACTGGGGTTAGTCTTGCTTCTGGGTTCTACTCTCTGCTCTGCTGGGCGACTTTCACCAAGTCCTGTTAAATTATTTGATCCACAGCTTCTCTTTTCGTAATACTCAGGAGAATCCCCCAATCTCACCCCAGCTGCAAAAGAGCCAAACTACAGAGACTGAGATGCAGAACTAAAACTACAGTTGTGTCAATATATGACTCAGTAATTGCCCAGGATGCTTTTTGTAGAACATGCACAGCTTTGCTCCTGGGAATCAAAGAATTCACAGTGGAAAAGCCAAAAATCCCTCAAGATAACACCAGAAATTGAGGGTGTTTTCACTCTTTCAAGCAAAAGCTGTGAGTTTTTCATTAAATATAACAACATATTCATTCATTATGTATTATTCATCCTTTGGTTTTGCAATTTTTGGCCTTGTGCTGAACTCTACATTATGGTGAAACAAAACCTGTTTTTTCCCTCTCCACTACAGTTCTCCATGGGAGCTGGAAATCTTCACAAAGGAGTTCTCTTGTCTCCCTTTAGAAACTCATTAAAGTCACTAAAAGCTTTTTGAGGCTTCTTTTTGAAGACCTGCTAGGGTTTGTTGGAAGAAGACAGCCTGTACTGAGGGCCTCAGCTCCCCCACAGTGGCACTGGATGCAGCTGTTCAAAGCCCCATTGTAAGAACTCCTGAAAGGACCATAAGTAACCAAGTTGCAGCACTTGCTCACAGTTCATGGCAGTGACACTTCCCAGAAGCCAAGTCCTCACTGTGAGAGTCTGTGAAAAACAGAAGACAAAGAGAAGAGGCTCATCCCTCCACCCTTGTTCCCCAGAAGCTGGTGGCTGCAAGAAACGACTGCAGTGGCAAAAGTCAGCCTCATCCTTACCCCTTCTCCTCTGACATGCCCAGCCTTCCAGTGGGAGCTGGCTGCCTGCTTAGTTTCCTGTGGAAAAGCTCATAGCACTGTTAAGCACTGGCCACCTCACCTCAGTTTTCCACCCGCTGCTCTCTCTAGGCTGGGAGCATTGCCTTTGCATCCTTTGCCAGCACTTATCTCCCCTCCTGCAGGTTATGACCAGGAGAGACAGCTGAACTAAAAGAAGTGATGGGTCAGGTGGATTCCAGTTCTGGAGTACACTGGCACATTCAGGATGAGAGAATTCTCAGGATGAGAGATTTTGACCATTGTCACAGAAGCAAATGGCTTAAGCATCTGGCTTTAATCTTTAACAAATTAATCTGATTTACAACTACAGCAGCAAAGGCACTAAGAGCACCCATAACATGATAAAGTCACAATCACAAGCTGCAACAACGAGGTAGGCCCTGGTGGTATCTTAATAACCTGTTCGAAAGCAATATATGTTGATATAACCAGCAGAATAAGCCGATGAAGAATAAGAAAAAATCAGGCAAAATAAGCACTAACAGTTAAGGGCTGAAAGAATTAACACTCTGTAAGGAACAATGAACCCAGATTTGGGTGTAAGCAGCAGTTTTGGACCACTTTTCTCACCTGTCCGGCTTGATTCTCCCAGGAGCAGCATGGTTGTAATGACAAAAAAAAGAATGGAAGACCTTTGTCCATTGTAGCAGAAATAACTTCTGTCTAAAGGAGACTTAACTGCTGGAGATGAAAGGCAAGTAGTTAAAGCTGGGTTTAGAGATCCTCACTGCTGGGTTAAAATCAGAATATCCTGGATTTTCTGCAGCTCATTCTGAAGAGTCCCAAGTCAAGCAAAGGTCTCCAGGTGAAAACAGAGTCACCTCTGAGACCAGCCATACAAGCATTAAAGGAAAGAGTCTGGAGAGCAGCTTACCACAGCAAAAAGGATGTGACCAGCCTGCAGAGTGGATTTATCAGAGATGATGTGCTGTGTCTCTGCTGGTCAGCTCTCCACAAAGGAGACATGTGCCACCATGAGCGTGAAGGAGAGGGGCAGATGTAGGTGTGTGCCCTGACAGGGGACGCAAACCCATGGATGTGGGAAAGGAGGGGGGACACACACACGGGTTGCCAGGGAAATGAGGGGAAGCAGCTGAAGCGCTCCTCAGAGCCAGGTCCTTGTGCTCTGGGAAAGGGAAGGGGCTGTCACAGAAGTTTTAGAATATGAAGAGGCATTAATGAAAGAAACTAAAGAGGCACCAATGGAGCAACCTCCTCCAGGGGGCTTAAAAGCAAAACCTGAATTTTGCATCCCGTTTAGGTTGCAGAAAACAAAGGTGTTTATTTCATTTACACTGAAACAAAGCTGTTTTCCCCCACATCTAAAGACAAGAGAATTTGCTTCTGAAGCCCACTTTCATCTCAGCCTCCTGCCTTTAACTGAACAAGGAAAAAGGGACAGGGAGAGGAGGGCTGAAACCAGCATATTTTCAATTAACTTTTTTCAATTCAAACTCTGCAACAAAACTTCTGTGTGGCTTGAAACAGTCGTACATGTCATTGTAAAACAGCCACAGATCTATGACAAACCATCAATGCCAGGTTACAGCAAGTCTTAAGCTGCAGCAATATTTTGGATTGTATGCGTTGTCATAGCTCAAACAAAGTTCAGGACACCATTATCCCAGAAACTGTAAAAATCATATTAAAAAAACCCACTTACCATTTAGGAGACTGTAGACAAATAAAAATCCTACACTACATACAGTGTTAGTTGTTTCTGCTGCTGCTCAGAAACACCGGCTTCAGTTCATCTCACCTCCTCATGAATGTTTCCCCAAACCTGGAAAACTCTTGGCATTACAGCTCAGGAGTTTTCCTCCCTTGGTTTCTCTACATTTTTCATCTAATGAGAGGGGTGAATAAAATGAACATAGAAGATTCTTTCTGGGTTCAATTTAAATGCTGTCTTTGTTGTGAAAAATACTTCAAATGGGAATATTCTGATCCTTGTGAAAGGATCAAAGCAGGGGACTGACATTCGAGTTATGGATCAGTCTGCTTGTTTCCTGGTAGATTTAACCTGTAAATTACTGCTGCTTTCTCCATACAGTTCACTACATCCTACAAAATGAGCTTTATTTCAAATGGCCTCCTTCATTAAAAAGCTAATTAGAGCTGGTAATGTATTGCTTGCATCCCTTGAAAAGAGCACAGTAACACACTGCTGCTGCTGTCTGAAAGAACAAATACAGTGTAAGTATGTGCAAAAATAATTAAAAAAAGACTTTTAGCAAAGGCTGATAAACTTCCCTGGCTCTGATTTATACTGCAGTCATTTAGGGACAAACATTATCACTTAGAATAAAGAGAGAGCAGAGGGGCTTAGTGCCTCCCAGTGTGTAGAGTTCCTCAGTTACTGCTTAAATGAACCACTGCAATATCCATTCACCATCTACCTGAGGAGGTGCTACAAGGTGTCCTCGTGCTGGCTTTACAGCAAAACAAAGTAAGGATTTAAGTGGTTGCTCTGCTAGAATCAGCTCTCACTCCTCAGAAGGTTTTCAGTCTTTGAAAACATAATCAAAGACTACACCATGACTCCTCAGCCAGTCTTCTGTCTGCAGTGCTGCCAGTAGGCATCAGTATGGACACAGCAGTGGAAAGGTGAGCAGCCACCAGCTAGGAAGGAGACAGCCTGCTGCACACAGGCATTGGTCCTTGCCATCTAGAACAACAACAGCAGTGACTGAAGGCAGTAGCTCACTTACAGCGGTTCCTTTCTCCTCTCCTAGTCTGTTTCCTGACTGGGCACTGGAGCAGCAACTCGATGAGCAGGCACCAGGGAACTGCTGGGATGCTGTGCTCGCAGCCAACGCTGTTATAATGAGAGAAGAGAGGGAGGAGCCAGGCTGAGGGGCTTCTGCAGAACATGCGGTGGCTGCCACACACCCCGGGCACTTGGGGCTGGGAAAGAGGAGGAGACTACACCCAGCAAGAAGACAATGGTTGGAAGCAGTTTGGCCCAGCAGCTGAATACTACATCGAGGCTCAGAAAATCCTATTACTGGCCTGATGTGTGGTCCTCTGGAAGTCCCTCTCTCTTTACAACAGTGTCATGCCAAGCTGTGCCCATCTCTCCTGTCTATTGCTAGTGTGAGCTGCTCCAGACTTTCTCCACTCTGTGACTGTCTCAGAAGATCAGCTGGGGACTCACGTATAACACCAAAACCCCCCCCAACCATTACATACATCCATCTAGTATTTCCTCGCAATGCCTGGACAGCTGAAGGAAGGCCTGAGCTTTCAAGATAAACTATTACATTCCTCTCTGGATTGTACAGTTCTGTTTAACACACAGGCACAGAAATTAAGCCCCTGTCCCCTCCATCCTCCCATTTACTAGTTCCACTTCAAAAGTGAGCTGAAGCACAATGCTGCCAAGTGGCTGCTCTGCTGGGCCAGGTCATTTATAAATACACACATCGAGGCGTTGTAATAACAAAGAAGCGCCTTCACAGGAATTCAGCAGAGTAAACACTACAACTCATCCTGCCGGGGAGTTGGAACATGTCCACACTTAAGGAAGAAACAACCATTTACTCCCTCCTTGACTTTAAGATGATGAAAAACTGAAGATGGAAAACTATCCAGCAGCGTGCACGTCCTGGCCTTCTTCCCTGAGCTTTCTGTATACGTGCCACTGAGGAAATCAATTATTAAATATCAACGCAGCTTGATCTGTGGAGTCAAAAACTGCTTACACTTCAATTCAAAAGGCTGCAGCTGGTGAAGCTTGCCCCTAACAGAGTTCAAGGGCTTGCTTCATAGCTCACTGCAATTAAGGGGAGTCCTTAGATCACTTTTAGTGCACTTCAGACCCCAGATGGTGTAAATCATTCTCGCAATATAAATTATGGCAAGATGCTAAGATCTGTTATAAATGATAATTACCTCCTGTCTATAGGACAAAACAGAAAAGGAACCCAGAAATAACTCTTCACCCTGGATTCCTCTCGGAGGCTCTGACCTGCTCACAGGTTCATCTCCAGGTGCTGTCTTAGGTAGTCTGAAGGTGACTGCGCAACAGTGTGGGTACCACGAAATGAATTCCGTTCCTAGGAATAAATGGACACATTAATGGTTGTGTGTAGTGTAACAAAACAAGCTGTAAAGGTAGTTACTATTAGTTTAGAAGCAGGAGGGCAAAATTCAACTGTATCCTACTAAGTTAAACCCAGACACTGCTTTTTAAAACCTTGAACGAAGATAAATGTTTTGAAGTGCTACAAGGCACTGCCTTCTGTGAGGTGCATTAATTTAACAAGTATCAATCAAAGACAATCTGATTGTGAAACTTGGCCTTTGAAAAGACACAAATAGGCCTTTTAAGCGTTAACTTTCTGAAGCTGTCAAGTTGTGGGTGCTTTCCTGCTTTTAAAGATAAAAAAGCAGTAACTTTAAGTCATTACAGAATGATTTTTCATCCAGAGAATGCTGACATTTGCTTTGTGTTAAGACACAATGTGAGACTAATCTTGGCAGATTTACCTTTTTTTCCTTCAGAAATTCTATTGTAGGGTTACTTCAGGGCTCTGCTACAAAAACCTCAAGGGCTTCTCATCCCAATTATGTAGTCAAACAACGAAGATCTGAGCCAGGATGGAAAACTGAGAGAATATTTTCAGACAAAACATACTGAAGACCATTTAAAAAGATTTAATTAGATAATTTAACCCCTCCCAGCCCCATCTCCATGTCATGATGATATCATCACCTATAGGTAGCCTTACATTTTGAAACCTCAGAGGTTATCTGCTAGAGGCCAAATTATACTAAAATTAGGAACCAAGAAGTTCATTCTAGCTCTGCAATCCCCAAGTAAGGCAAGGACCTTCCAGGAGAGAGCATGAACTAACACGCTTCTACTGTGCAATCTGTGGGGACAGGAAGAGATTTTTGACTGAGACAGGTGTAAAGCAAAGTTTTGCTGCAGTATTTTCAGCTAGACTTCAGACCACCCCAGTGATGGAAAAGGGCTGACTATGTTCCTTGGAGAGCTGTAACAGAGTAACTTAGGTCCTTGGATTATGTCTGTTTGGCTGCTAATTACATGAGTTCCCCTGGAATGTTCATCTACACAGCATCACCGGGTGCCAAGCAAAGACATCGCTTTGAGACAACCCATGTGCTGTGCATCACACCAGAACAGAATGCCAGTCTCCACCAGTACTTGCACGTGGTTTGGTGGACCTGACAAAATTTGAGCTGGATCTGAAACAGAATGAATAAGAACTAAATGTTATCCACTAAAGATAAAACAAGGCAGATGGGATTAACCATGTTTGCATAGCACAGACTTCTAGACAGCACAGAACAAGTGTTACGTTACTGCTAAAGAGTCACAGCTGGAGGGTTAAATATGTTTATTTTAGTAGTGTAAGGTGGTTTTACAAACAGATTTTTAGATTTTGCAATATACACAAAGGAATCATTACAAACAAAAAGCAAAATATCCTCTCAATAATACAGCCTCTATGCAGCCTGAAATAAAATTAAACCTCTGCTTCTCTTTAAAATGCATCTCAGTAAACATTCTTCTCCATCACTGGTAAAATGTACATCTATAATAAATGACATAATAATTGGGGGGGATGGGAC